TCGTCGGAATTATTAACGAAATCAGAAAACGATATCTTGGAATAAGCTCAACCTTTGCCTGAGCTTCGAATTACATTTCTAACCGTCATCGCTTCGCGGCAGTTTTCTCAGAGATTTATTAATCACGCGACAATGCACCTTAAACCTGCAGCAAGAAAAATAATCCAACCGCAATCCTGACTGTTCGCATCGCAACAACCGCTAATAACAATCATCGTTTCTCACATCCCATTTCTCTTCTCCATCGAAAATCACGAGAGACTTCTCGCTCACCGCAACGCAAGAAACCGCAAAAGCCAATCAACGTAAAAACGAACGCACATACATAAAGATACACATGCGCATGGCATAATCAGCAGCTTCTTTTTACAACGACCAACTGTCCGATTTTTCTTAAGGAAAATAACTCATCGATCCGCGAGCTCAAATTACGCGTACACCAAAGTCATTTCTTTTTTCTTTTTTTTTCGGGCGGACGTGGCTAAACACTGCGCGCGCGCGCGCACATACACACACATGTGGGTGCCTTGAAGGGGATATCCTTCGCGATATGGTAGCTAATATTTGACGGACTGAGCACACAAATACCATACACCAGGGCGTCACGGCTACTCTCTGTTGTTTGCTCAACGGTCACCGGCGACGCTCATCGTTTGCGCAAGTGTGTGCGTGCGCTCGCTAATGCCTGAAAATGCCTATCCTCAATATGGATTAATCGATGAGTAAACATTCGATCCCATTTTTCTTCTGTTTCATTTGTCCATTATTTAATAAGGCGTTAACAATTTCAAGATTACTCGACTTAATCGGCACGAGAAGAAAAACGAGAACAGAAAATCCAATGAGACGGCGACGAATAAAGGAAAGCAGTGTGACGAGCGAGTGTTTGCGTTCCATTTGACAAGTTAGAGAGAAAGAGAAAACTGACGTAACGTACGCCTACACACACTTTTGAAAATTGGAACTCTCTCGAAAAACAGTACAGTACTCTCACTCACTCTCTCTCTCTCTCTCTCTCTCGCCTGAGTCAACATTAATATTCCCGAATGCGCTCGCGTATGGTTATTGCGCGCAGCTCAAATATTTTTCCCATTTTTTCCAATCGCGACATTTCAGCATACAATTCTAATTTTTTTTTTTTTTTTTTTTCAATTTCCATCGCTGCGACCTACAAAACCCGGCTGCCTCTGCTGGTAGCTATAACAACTCCAGACAAATAACTCCCGCGAGAAATAGAATTCTCGAGCTGCTGCTGCAGTTCTTTGGCGTGCAGTTGTTAGTGTTTTGCGGTTTTGCCCAGTGCAAGGTCTCTTGTGGTTTTATCGACGTGGAACAGCGATGGTTTCACCTTTTCTGATGCGAGTTTCTTTCCTTTTATATGCTCTCCAGTACGACAAAGTTGTTGAGTAAATTGAATTATATCGATGAGCTCTGACTGAAAATTATTGTTTTTCGATGAGGTTTTTGAAAAAAATTAGATTGAACTATATACTTATTTTGATAGAGAAATCCGAGCATCGACTCTCAGGAAAAATATATTTTCTCGTACTTCTGCAATTAAAAAATTAAAGAAGAAACCATCCCGTACCTTTGATTCGCACTCCATCTTTTCAAATATACCGCAAAACCCTTTGGAGCCGTACACTTGGCCAAAACCGCAAGCACGGGAGAGAAAAGATGCGCGAAGAAAAAATTGGAATTTCTGAAGAATACAATAAAACGACCAGCCCCACGCCTTTCCAGGTACAACGCAGTTTAGTAGTATTAGAAAAGACTCACGCAGCAGCAGCAGCAGCAGCAGCGGCAGAGTCAGTAGTAAGAGCAGGGACATGCACACACGTAGAGAGCGTCACGGGTTGCGGGGCAGCTTGGCGTGGCGGTTAGCGAACTATCTCAATTTGCCTAAGCCGCAACCGCAGCGACCGCGAAACCACGACTTCCCTCTCGTCCGTGTGGCGTGGTGGCGGCAGCGGCGCCGCGCTACTTCGGACTCTCCCTTTCGCTTCTGCGCCAGATGAGGGTGGCTCGCATGAGCTGGCTCTGGAAATCCGAAACGAGAGTTGGCCGGCGTCGCTGCACCGGCCGATTATTCGTGCTAATTAATTTCGGCATTTCCAGCCCGGCCGAGCCCCATTCCGGGCCGCGCGCACGCCTCGGCTTTCGAATCATTACGCTCACGTGTTGCATGTGCGCGTAGCGGCCGGCGCGCGACAAACAGCGGGCCTCGATTGCCCTCTCAGCATTCCATATCCAACGTTGTTTCCGTGGCCGCTCTCGGCTCGGCTCGGCGCAAGCCAATTATCATGTGCCGCATTGTCGCGGGCAGCGCGGTCCAATTCTTTTCCACGGCGCCCCGTTGTAACGCTTAATCATTTGCATCCGAACGCTCTCCACGTCGTCGGTCGGCTCGTTAAGCCACTGCGCGGTGATTCTGCCTTGAAAGCCGCCACGACATCGCTTTTAATCCACCTACTTGCGCGCAGCGACTGTAATGAGGTGCGCGACACAAAAGGAAGTAGCCTGCGACGCAAGAGACATCGACCAGGCGTGGGCGAGTACGCGCGGTCGTCGACGAGGGCTCACGGTGCGGACCGGGGGCAGCCAGGATTGACGTGCCAGCGACAGCAGCGGCACCGGCTCACGGTCTCGCTTGTAGCGCGTAATCCTGGCGAACACCGCAAACACGTAATTAACACTTGCTTCCCTCGGCGCTTCCTCGTGTAATGAATCGTTGCGCCTCGCTTCGCGTATAGAATATATATCGTGACTAGCGATACGCGTCCCACTTTCGACACAGCAAGAGAGGAGCAAGAAATCGTTAACGCCCAATCGCGACTGACCCTCCGACGACGACGACGACGACTACTACACTTGCCATTGTCAGCGGCGCCGCCGCCGCCTCGTTGTCTCTATCGATTGCTTTGATTGTTCTCTCGTCCCCTCTCGGAGGCTCGATCACTGTCCGTCCGAGTCGTCGACAACGCGAGAACCCTCGCGGCAAAGTCGACAAACGACTCGCTTCGAGCGACGACGAAAGAAAACAAGTCTCCTACTAGTAACATGCAAGCGCCGGATAAGAATTGTCGTTTTCCGAACCGATGCGCAAGTTGATAGCCAAGGCCGCCGAGGCTGTCGGAAAAATGCGACAGACCGTTCTGCCCCTTTGGGAAAATCGCGAGGGCGAGGCCGAGACCCCCGCCAAGTACGTGAGCAAAGCCGAAGCTTTGTTCGGATGCTAATAACGAGCGACGGCCGAGAGCAGACAACCTCAGCAATTAGGCGCGACAACAATTGACGGCACATGCGAAGCGGCTGTAGGTTAGCAATTCAATCCGATATGCGCGTATAGTCAGAGCAGTCGATAAATCGCCTTGGTTGCCTACGGGGGCGAAGGAAGAATGAGGCGCCGCGATGCGGTTTTATCGCTTGCACGCGCGCGCGCATACCGTCGCCCGTGTCGCTCGACAATGCTCGCGCGTTAATTGGTGTCCGAGTGCTGCTCTCTCGGTCGCTTGCTTGCAGAAATTCATTCAATCGCTCGCGAGCGTTTTTGCGATAACGAACGCTCACGTGGCTATGAATGAATGATAGGCCAAAGTGATATCGGTCACAATTTTCTTTCATCTTTGACATTCATTGACTGACTGTGCAAAGATGGCCGGAGAATAACAATGTATATATATATATTTTTTTTTTCTTTTACGATACTATTACTTAACGTTAGAGGATGATACAGTAGGCCTTAGAAAGGAATCGTTTATTGAAATAGATAAACAATCGGCTAATCCGAAAGTATTTCGAAAGACCATCAAATGAGATGACGTTTAGAATCGTCTTTAAGTCACAAAATGTATTATTTAGTAGAATACTCGTTAAAGCCGTGAAAAAAATACGAGTAAATCTACTTAGAAGGAGAGAAAAATCAAGTCTGCAACGCTCTCACACGCCTCGAAGCAAGCAGAGCAAAAAAGAAACGAAGAGCCCTCGGTCTCATTAAAAAACCAATAATTCTCCATAATCTCTCCGATCCGACCCCGTCCCTCTTTCTTTTTCTCTCTTATTCTTTCTGCTTGTTTCTTTTTCTGTTGGTCCAGTGTTCTGGGCGCGAAGATCCGATTTAATTGGTATACGTGCCTGGAAAAATCTAGTGTATCGAAATTAGACCGATAATTTATCAGTTCGACAGGTTTGCAAAAGCAACGCGTTCCCCTTATTGCCGCCGCGACGTACTAATTGATTGATCTGTCCCGTAGCTCTGGGAAAAACAAGTTTGTAGACTTTCACGGCTTGCATGCATACATATTCAATAAAGCCGATAATCAGCGATTAGCAGCATTACTCTGTCTTGCTTGCGATAAGTCTAATCCATTTCATTTGCAGCGATGTAATAAACATGTCGTTAAGAACTCCCTGCAGCCAGTTCGCGTAATTAAAACTCCACTCGAGCGCTAATTATCGTTTCGCAAGCGAGCGTATTTTTCGCACCTCGCGCTCCCAACGAAAAAGAAATGAGGAGGAGAGGGGGAGTGGGCAAAAAAAACCGAATGGCGGACCGTGCAATTAAATTTTATTTACGAGGCGTCGCTTCGGGCACGCGAGCGAGGATGTTTAACTTAATAATAGATATGCACGCGAAGAGGCATTGTGCGATCGCCGGGAGGGCGCCAAGCATGGATTTGCATTCGAATGCAGCCGTTACGTTCTTCGTCTCCCCCCCCCCCCCCCCCCCTCTCTCTCTCTCTCTCTCTCTCTCTCTCTCTCTCTCTCTCTTTCTTTTTCGTGTTTTGCTTGCTGAACGAAATTGGCCGCCGCCGCCACCGCCGCCTCCGCCAACTACGACGATTATTTATCGACCGTTTACAGATTAAGTCTGTTTTTCACGAGACTTGGAATTTTTGCCTCCTTTTTTAGCGTTGAAATGCAGAGAGTTTGCGTGACCTTCTGTTATGTGTCGTTGTTGCTAAATGTTGACTTTTGTTTTTTTCTCTTTGTCTTTTCAGGTGCCGCCGCAGTCTGGCCAACCATTCAAATTTACAATCACGGAATCCTGTGACAGGATTAAGGAGGAGTTTAATTTTTTACAAGCACAGTATCACAGGTGAGTTTCTTTATATCTTACAATAATTGCTTACTTTTCATTAATATATCTCTCCCTCTTTCATTACAATCATGTTTTTCTCATTCCCTAATATTATTTAAGTAATTTAATGCAACAGTTATTTTTAATAACTGGATTTGTATTTGGACAAATCTTAATATTATTTTAAATTGAAATTATTTATTTCCGTGAAAAAATGAAATCTATTCGTTATAGTATTATTACGATGTGTGTAATAGAGAAGTAACTTAAAAATTCATTTATATTTTATCGTTAAAACATTCATGATAAATCAATGTTTTAAAAACGTATTTTATATAAATAGAACACGCCGAATTACGTATCGAAAGTATATCTAAAATTGGCCAATTCTTGCAAAACAAAAGCCACAACGATCATAATATTTACATCAGCCGCGAGTATACAGATAAAAACTGTATGACTCAATAATTTCCGTGGCCGGAATGATCCAACATTTTCCTTTCTCATCTCATCTCTCACTCTAACAGTGTACGCATAACCGTGATTTATTAACTTTGACCTCTATCACGTACGAACGGGAGAGATAAGGCTGTCTTGCTTCTTGAGCAATCCACGAAAAAATGAGAAGCTAAAGAAGATGAGAAGCAAATAAGAGATAAGCGTAATTACTCGGAGAGCAAAAGTACGCTTTACATAAGTACTTTGTATTTTTTTTTTTTTTTTTTTTTGTTCTCTCCCGGCACGTCGCGTCGCGGCATCATCGGAAATTCACCGCGTGGCGCGCAGCCATCGACGCGTATATATACGAAATTGCTCGACCTCATATGCTCGTTAATGTGCGATCGTAAAAGGCCTCGGCCTTTTACAACTGCACCCTCGTATACTCCGAGGATACGAGCTGCACTTACCGTGTTTTACAAGTGTTAGTCCGGAATGAGGATTCGCCTTCACTCTTTTTTTTTTCCGCGCGCGCGCCCGTCTATGTTTCTTCTCAGCGGCGCCAGTTTGTGGCTTATGTGTTGATGATTTTCGCCCTCTCTCACTCTCTCTCTCTCTCTCATTGAAACAAGTTCCCTATCTAATAGCACTCGACCCGCGAAAACAGAAGGAATCTTGGCTACACATTTCCCACAAGACAGCTGCACAGATTACATTAATAATCATGCTTAACGAACGGCAAATATAAAAGAAAGCGTTTACTAATAAGAATAGTTGTTTGCCAACAGCTACGTTCGCGCGCAACGAAACGACCTCGCAGTTCTGCGGTGGAAAGATCTCTCTTCTCTCTCTCTCTCTTGCTCGACGGCAGGGCAATTTCGCCTGGCACGGTAATGGCCGGTACTTTGGAAAATCTGTAATAGTCTCGCGTTCTCTATACACCGCAGTGAGCGAGAGAGAGAGAGAGAGAGAGAGAGAGAGAGAGAGAGAGAGAGAGAGAGAGAGAACCGAAACGTCTTTTACGGTGCAGAGGCCGTATAACGAAGTAGGCGAACCGCAAGTTCGCGCGCTAAACCACAATATCATCGCGCGCTGCCGTAGCCTTTTATATTCTCTCTCTCGTGCTGTATTAGAGCAACTTACGACTGACTGCCTCGTGAAAACGTAAACGCGACGACTTTCTTCTCTTTTCTTTTTATCGGTTTCTTCTGCGAGTTGCCAGGTGAGGATCGATCGGGAACCTGCTTCTGGGCATGTGCTCGACACAAGTCACTTGTTTCTTTTAAATGACTTGTGACTTTTCGGATCATGGCATTTCGTGTTCCTCGAGCTCGTAAACGGTCCCAATTGAATGCTGGCGCTTAGCTTGATCGGCGAAAACTCTTGCTCGGGTTAAAAAGGCAAACGTCGGAAACTGGCTGCGTTTTCTTCCACAGCACGATTCGGCAAACAATAAGCCAATAAGTAAATGATCGAAGCATCTCCGAAAGAAGCAGAGCAGTCGTTGCGTCCAGTTAAACCACGTACGTCACTTCCCTCTCCCCCTTCACGGGCAGAGCGAAAGCCTAACAATTGTCCGGACTACGCTCTCTCTTTCGCGCGCGCGCCAGTCTCGATATATAAATAATAAGCGCTCTGAGCGCTCATATACGGGCGAATCGAACAAAAGAGAGAGAGAGAGAGAGAGAGAGAGAGAGAGAGAAATACGGAGCTTGAATAAAAGCGAGCGAGCGCGCCTCGTGCATACGCGAAGAATAAAGAAGAGGAGAGGTAAAGAAAGAAGAGAGTATATACTCTAGGGCAGTCACGAGTGATTTACAAAGCGGGCAGCATACGTAAGAGAAACGTGTGTGTGTACGTGTGTGTGTATATACATATCCCCGCATAATGATACACCTCACGTATATACAGCGCCTTTCTTCCGCGTATGCATAATAGGCGTCTCGATCATCGTCGTGCACCGCTCTAGAGGTGAACTTTCGATAGCAATGCGCGCGTCTGATTGACTCGGCCCACGCTCGTTCGCCCCAGATTATTGCGAGTCGATTGTGCGAGCTGCGATGAATTGCCGAGTCCCGCGCGTCGATTGCAGCAGCAATTGGTTTTTCCCACTCGTCGAATCGAAAGGAGGAAAAAAAAAACATGGGATTTTGCGACGAACGAGGCAGAGAGGCGTAAAGCATCTCAGCGCCTCGCAATCGAGGAAACCTCGCGCGTGAATAATTATGGCAAACACATCGTGCCTGCGAAGGCAATCGAAGTTGCGCGCGGCGTACAAGTAAAGCAAGCAAAGGAGAGAGACGTAGCGGAGTTGGAAGCTCGCCAGGGCTTTGCACGGTGCATTTACTAAAGCGGCGTCTCGTTTTCTTGTTCTGTTTCAGCGTGAAACTCGAGTGCGAGAAGGTGGCAGCGGAGAGGCAGGAGATCCACAGGCATTACGTTATGGTAAGTGAGCTCTGAGTAATTGGCGAGCTGGTGCTCTCTTGCGTGCGTGTGCGCACTCCGCGAATTCGCTGGCTTTATACCCGGGCCGCCTCTCCGTTCTTTATACGCGCGCGGCGTCTGCGCGGACTGTATGAGCTATTGTTTTCTGCATTCCTTCGCCAACCACTGCTTTCAGCTCTCGCCCGTTTTGGCCGCTCGTGCTGCTTGCGCGCGCGTGCACGCGCTGCTCGCGGATGTTTTATTAGGTGAAAATTAACGCTCTCTGCTTGGCTCTCTCGTTAGCCCAGGCATATTTATTTGTTTTCGCGAATAACGACGACATTGGCGTGCAAGTTAATGCCAACCGTGCATGCATTTCTAGATGGGATTTCGCTGTAAACTTTCGTTCTTATAGCAAAGCATTTTCTCTTCATGTGAATAATTATTCCTTTCATTGGCCATTTTACGGTATTACCTCATTGTCTTGTTCAGATTCCATTACGCGATTTATTGTCAAATGATAATAATCCTTTCAACTTGATAAAAGAGTTTCTTATTGATACCTCTAGCTACTCAAGATGAAAATATCGTTGTATTGTATTATTACGTTTGCTTTTCTTGCTATTCACAAAACCTTCGGTTGCAAGCTCTTCGATAAGTAAAATAACCACGAAAATTAAGAAACAAATGAGCAAAATACAAATCAGCTCATCTTCATTCAAACAATGAAAAAAGAAAGAGAAAGCTCTCAACCTTGGCACGATAAAAAAACAAAAAGCTCGTTGAACATCAAAGAGAAGAAGGCAAAAAAAAAGGAAATCCACTTCGCCAAAAAACAAAAAAAAACAAGCCTTCGCAGAGTACGTATGTAGTACCAGCAGCTCGGTAGAACTACTCGACCCATTTTCACATTGCCGAGAACTCCTTTTTCGCATCTCTCTTCAAACATAAATTGCATTCTTTCTCGTTGCATCCTCACGCTTGGGAATCACTACTACCGTGCAACGTAATTACACAATGAAGCAAAGTACCATGATCTCGATCACTTTGTTCTTCTCGCGACTAATTTCGCTGATGACCAGTTTCGATGATGATCAGCAGTGAGCAGAAGCTCACTCTCGTGTGTACACCCGACGAAATAATCAATCTCTCTCGCGCTCGCTCGCTCGTGTGAGTCGTGATCGTACAACTATATCGTACTCGCTCGAGGCGAGCACGTGGCTGCGGTTTTCTCTTTTCTCGAGATGCATACATAAGCTGCTGCTGCCGAGGTGAGAATGCAAAGGACAGAGTTGATAGATTGGGGACTCGACTGTGGACAAGTGCGCTCGCGAGACTTTTACGTTTGATTCGTATAAAGAAAAATCATCGAAGAGCGCTACGCGTTCGTGGATGTTGAGTCATTCCATTTAATCTATCGAGGGGATTAATGATCCGTGATAGTTGATATGAGCAATGTATCGTCTGTATTTGTAAATAAATTAGGTCATGTATTTTATTTTATATAAAGAAATTCACGAAACCTTTCATTTTTTACAAAAGTAATATTTAATTGTTAAGTAGATATCGCACTTTTCGAACCTTTTAAAGCTTATTTCTTACAAATAAGACAAGAATCCTCTCGTGTTGTCTTTTTTTAACTATTACGATATTTTATGTTGATTATATGAACGTGTTATTATTAAGAAGGGAATAAATATGTAGTAAAAAATGAATTTTTAATAAAGTTATGCAAATTTTACGAAAAGAAATTCTATATAAATATGAATTTCTTTTACTGAAGATTCGATAATAATCAACTGACAAGTATTTATAGTTCATTTATAATAGAAATTTTAAATGTAATACAACAATGTACAAAATATGAATACGACAGTTAATTGAAACATTACAAAATTTGTTGCATACTTTTTTAAATATAATTTATTGTAATGAAAGAACAATGTTAAGTTTTGACTGTACATTTTAACTATATTCAGCTTTTTTCAGAAGTTCAGTTTTTCGTTGTTCAGCATCCTTCTTCGTGCTTTTCTTTTATCTTTTGTTTTTTAAACAGTACTATTGAAGTAGTCTGATTACTTCGCGCATTGTTTGTCATGCAAAAAATATGCACAAATAAATCGTTTGTTCATACTAAAAGTTCATATTCAAAATAAGGTAAATTTATGTTTGAAAAACAATTAGCATATAGATTAAAGAAATAATCGGTAATTATCTAATAAGTACTTATATTTATAGATGCAAATTTTAGAACGTCACCACGGAATTCACTGACTTATTTTCGCATTCATAGCTATTTCAATGTCGCGGAATCACAACGCAGTCGTTTTACACTTATCAATCGAACTGACAATCGGAAAAGCCGTAACATGAGTACTGTGCGTTCAATAATTATTTAATAATTAATTAATATTCAATAATTAAATTCTAATTTCTTTAATTACACATAAGAGCTTTCAACGGTAAAATATTGTGTTCTACGTTAAGACATTCTTTTTTTTTATTTTTAGTCTGCAAAGTATTTTCTAATCTTGCTTAATTCATTACTCATTTGTGTGTATGTATATATATATATATAGGTAAAGTAATGTATTTTTTATATTTAAATACTTTTTAAAATATTTTATAAAAAAATCGCAATAATCGTAATTGGAATAAAAGCTTTGTAACAATATAAAAGTTATATTTTCCGTTTGAGCGTTTTTACAGTGAATTTGTAAGGTTAAGGTATACAGATTACACGATGATTGGAAGAAATAGAAGTGAAAGTTGCAGTTGTGTAGGCAGAAAAACAATTTTTAAAATATTTATGCGGTTATATGTTCAATTATGACAACTTATATTTCAAGTATTTTTCATAATATATCATTTTGGAAACCACAGTTTTATTTTGTTTTTTAAAGTAAATTACATAGAAACATCAGAATAATGATTTTTACAATACTCAAAAAGTACATCCAAGTAAAAATATGTTTAATTAAATATAACATATTAAGTAGCACATTCATACAACTGACTTCATTTTAAATATTTACATTAGGAAAATGTTGTACTAAAATTTCAATACGATTGATTGAAATTTTATACTTTGAAGTTTCGTAAAAACATTTGGATGTCACTCAAGCATTTTTTTTACAATTAAATATTCGAGTTACGCTAAAGTTAAAAGTTTCGTGGATTTCCCCATATATCAGCCAGCGTATGATGAAATACAGTTGAAACGAAAATAAAGTTTGAATTTCATGAAAGGTTAATAATAATTCATACTTAAGATTGAATTTCTCTGCGATAAAATTAATTTTTTCCAAGCATAGATTTGATTTATTAATACCTTGCTATACTTTTCTCGATAAATCTACAGAAAGACAAATGTGATTTTCAGCTGAAAAATAGCGATCACGAGCACTAATAAACGCGCGAAAACAGCTCTCAAGGAAATAAATGATTGAGATAGAAAATAGAGCCGAGCCGAGGAGCGGCGGCGAAGCTCAATAATGTAAGAGCATCGTTTTGGATAATATAGCGTCGCGTCGTCTTGTCGCTTGAAAATTGCCCGTGGAGTATGGCGGCGCGGCACAATTTAATTGACGCGAAGGCGACTAGTTTAAACGCGATTAATCACAAGAGGAAGTCGCCGAGTCGAAGATTTATCGGGAGAGAGAACCCCGGCAGTAGGGTATAGAGAGAAGCCGAGAGAGCTACCAGCAGATTAAACTTGATTGCTTCTCTCTACCTAATGAATTACCCAGCTGCCACTCGGAAATTAGTTGATTTTCTAGTCTCTCACTCTCGCGTTCCTCGTCGTCGTCGTCGTCGTCGTCGTCATCGTCGTCTGCGGCTGCTTATTTATTCCGCTGCTTTTCCGCCGTTAATTAATTTCTTCGCCGGCAGTGAAAGTGCTGTACAAGCATGTTCGTCTGCCCCCTCGAGCAATCTCAGACGCCAATGTAACTCACTTCACTCGAAGGCGCAACAATCAATTCGGGTTGTTACTCGGCTAATGGCTCGTAAAATTAAGAAGAGCTCCCCTTCTTTCGCAGAGACTCCGCGGCCAAGAGTCAGATGGATTTTCACCATCCGCTTATAACCGATTCGCATCCATTTGCTTCTTTTGCTTTATCGTTGCCGCGCGACGAGAACAATCGGGCTATTCTTTTTTAGCGGCGTGACTCAGAGCGCGATGAGTCGATCGATAATAAACTTACTTGGACTATGTAACTAATCTTCACTTTTTGCCTTTCTGTTTTCAGTACTACGAAATGTCGTATGGCCTCAACGTCGAAATGCACAAACAGGTAATTTGCATGAATGATCTATTGAAACTATTACAGTAGCAAACGGTCACTATTAAATCCTGGATTCCAGTCAGTCAGGTGACAATCAAGTGTTGATAATACATTTTCGCTGGGTTATTTAACTCTTGTTACGCGCGGTGCTATTTAGAAAATGCTACAACAGGACCACTCGATCGCGTCAGCGACCAAAACTGTCACTCCGTGTTCGTCAATGACGGATTCCAGGTAGATTTCGAGCTCCTCGGTAAATACCGTCGATGATTATGTTTACATCAAGGATTATACCGTGCCGGTCGTACTCGCGTTTCCCTCGGCCATGGCACACGTAAATGTACTGTATACGTTAACTTACTATCGCGCAGCCAAGCGTTTGGACATTTCATTCGAGTAAATATAAAAATCACCAAAGTACTTGCATCTGGATACTATGTTAAAAATACCAAAAGGCATCTCGCAACAAAAAACGCAATACTTGTTATCTCACCGACAACCTGCTGAAACGAGAAAAAAACACTTTCCATACCGAGCTAGAAAAATCGCCTGGGTGTGTATATGCGTGCGTCATCGCGTGCCCATTGTATTCGTAGTTTCCCCCTTTTCACGTCACATCCATGTATATATATGAGGGTTGAAACTGGCTCCCCTTTGGCAGAGAGAGAGAGAGAGAGAGAGAGAGAGAGAGAGAGAGAGAGAGAGAGAGAGAGAGACGCAGTGAAGCGAGCGACGGCTGCGACCCGATAAGAACGTACAGCCTCGTCAATTACCGTCGGCGTTTTCGCGACGTCGACGCGCGCGTGAGCATGATTTGATTTTCGTGCTGCTGCCTCCCCCGTATATGCGATCGCGCGTGTTTTTCAATCTGTGAATAATGCTCGCGAAAGGGACAGTGTACCGCTCGAATGAGGGCAGGGGACGGAAAGAGAGAGAAATTATGGGTTTATTGGGGGCTTTGCGATGTCAAGCGATGTCACGAGCGTATCATTCGATTATTAGCGAAACGTGATTTCGATCTTCGTGTCTGCTTTTTTTTTTCTCTTTCGCACATTTTTTGGCGAGCATGGGAAAGCACTATCTCTCTCTCTCTCTCTCTCTCTCTCTCTCTCTCTCTCTCTCTCTCTCTCTCTCTCTCTCTCTCTCTCTCTGCTGATTTGTGTAATGCGTCGTTTCGAAATAGACTTAAAATGTACTCTCAACTCGGCCGCGTGAAGAGCTTTTCATTAATCACGTCTGTGTGAAAAAAGAGGCGCGGTCATATACGTATAATTTATACGAGAAACACCGGAGAGAAGGAACAAAGCCACTTTGGACGACTGTCTTACTCTCGCGAGGAGATTATTCCGGTAAAGTACTTCGCTTCGGCTAAGTGGCTCCTCTTCGCCGGTCGCCAAATAATCTCTCGTCGTCGCCAAGCGCTCGCGATAACGCGCGGCAATTACTTTTACGACGAGAAGGATCTGCCTCGATTAATAGCAGCTCGCACCTGCCACTTAAGACCAGGTGCCCCCCCCCCCCTCCCCCCAGCTTAAAGTGTCACATGCGGGCTTCGTTATTATTATTATTATTATATACTACGGACACTCCGAGTCTCTTCTCTTCTTCTTCATTAACCAGAGATACATTTTCACTTGGCATGTTTCCTGTCTCTCCGATGATTTTTCGTTTTGGACCTCGATTATCGTTCTCACTGCCTCCGTCCGTTATGCTGCGTATTTCGAACGAAGAGGAAAAGACGAAACACGGCTTTCGACGGAACATCGAAAAATACCGCATCGCAAGGAAGCGTCCGCGAAAGATTATTTTTCCAATCATTCAACAAATCAGCCTCGGCCTATACGCATCGTAAAACGCCTTAAGCATTATCGTCAGCTTGCCACTTCCCACAGAGCGGGGGCCTCTCTTTCCCTCGTCTTATTTTCGATGTGAACAGCCACAGAAGCGCACGCTTCGTTTGCTTTTTTATCTGTGTGCACAAGAAAGAGAGAGAGAGAGAGGAGAGAGAGAGGAGAGAGAGAGAGAGAGAGAGAGAGAGAGAGAGAGAGAGAGAGAGAGAGAGAAGAGAGACAGGGGAATCTATTATTACTCTTCTTCCTCCGCTGCAGGAGGTCGTAAAAATTGCTCGAGATAGGCCAAAACACACCACGGATCTTTTCTTCTCCGTGCTGTCGTTCCCAAGAGAAGAAGAATTCGATTCGTATGTACTCATGCGCCTAAATCCAATTTTATCTTTATATTCTTTTTTTGTTTTTCGTTTGTATCTGAAAGACTTTTGAAATCGCACTCTTGAGACAACTATGTGGGGCATGCTGGTTAAAAAAAACATAGAATCGAAGAAAAGTAACTGAGTGAGATGATGTAATTTTTGGATTGACAAAAAATTCAGATTTTTTGGCACATGTCGAATAATTAGCATTTTTGCCGATATCTCGAAATCGGCACGAAGCATGATTGATAATATCACGAGTATTATGCAAGCCAAACTCACCTCGTTCATATCATTTTTCATCGCGAGGAAAGAAGTAAAAAAAACATCATATAACATTTGCTTAAATCTTGGGGAAAGATGAAAAATTATAACATCTTCGCACGAGAGAAAATAATTCAGTAGCTAAGAGACTTTTATAATATAGTGGTTTGCGCGATTCATCCCAATTCTCAAGACGCGTCGGCGCAGCCGCTGTCTAACCCAAAGTGTTTGCCGAAGGAATTCAAACGCTTAATTGAACCCCGAGCAAACAATTCGTAATTATTAAAGTCGCGTTCTTTGATAAACTGCGGTGTATAATTTTAGCGAGCAAGGAAAGTCACCGCCGGTCACCGCGATAATATCGCGTATTAACGCAAAATTTCCTCGAAGTACTGCCTGTTGTTCAATTAAACATTTCGAGAGATATATTTACTTATGGCATATAAAACGATTTATGTACGAAGTGAGTTCCTGAAATCTGATGAATTTTCGATGAAACGCTAAATTCTTAACGTTACTTTTTTTTTGTCCCTCGCAGCACTGAACAGTTTGATACTGAATCATTAATTAGACAATTTATGTTAACGATCACTGTTCAATTGAGCATATGACAAACGAAGAAAAAAATTGGCATTGCGTAAAAGTACGCAACAAGTCAAATACATCGACATAAAAAATTAAATACAGTTAACAAAACTCAAAGTATATTTTTTCACTTTGTAACGAATAAAGAAAAAAAATGGTAAAACGTTCTTCCAAGAACAGAGTAAACAAATGTTAAAACCATATACTGTCGAAAAAGAAAATTCATAAATACCCGCTTGTACCAAATTACAAAAACACACATCCTGCCAAACTTGATTAAAGCAGTTAACAACTCTTACCCTACTTGCATCATTCGCTACCAGCTTGCGTAAGAGAGAGAGAGAGAGGAGAGAGAGAGAGAGAGAGAGAGGAGAGAGAGAGGAGAGAGAGAGAGAGAGAAGCGTTAACAAATGAGTGGTTTGAATTCTGTGCGTCTTACAAAACGATGTATAGACACACACATGTTGGTTGAGTGAACTTCTTTGTCGAGAGGCTTTTCGCCAATAATCGCACTTAACGAGGCCACTCTAACGAGAGGAAATTGGCCGCAGGGCTTATCGCTCGCCACCTGCGGACGATGCCTCCTCCCCTTTCCCCTTTCTCTGCTACATTCGCTTGATTGTTCGACTCCCCCCCCCCCCTTCTGTATATGTATGTGTGTGTGTATCGGCCGCGGCGCGATCAAATTGTCGTGATTTGCCACTGTTATACTGTATTTATATTTTCACTTGCGGCCAGTACTGGCTTTTGTCAAATATTTTCTATACGTTGGACTAAAGATATTTTCAATCGAGCGTATAATTTGTGTATTGAACATATTCGAAAAAGAATTTAAGTACTGTAATTGACTGATTTGTTGGAAAAAAAAACCGATTCCAGTTTTAGAAGGCTGACGCTAAAGTACGATTACGGTATACAGTAGAAAAAACATGAAAAAATGTTGACTCAAGCCCAAGGTATTCGCAATTATTGTTCCTGTAGATGACTCTGTCTTCTTACAATAGTAACTTTTTTATCGAACTAGCATAAACTCGACGTATTCGAGTCACTCGAGTTATTCAACATTCGCGAAAATTTTTGATCCATATTATAATCACGGTTACTTTAGGATTTAATATTTGTGCAGTAAATGTTAACCTGAAATGATTAATTGATCGTCACCTGACTAAAGCAAATAAATCAATCCATTCAAGAGTTTATGAACGAAACGTCCAAACGAGAGCCAGAAAAAAGAAGGGCTAGAGAAAATGAAAAGTTGGCAGCCAAGAAAGAGGGAGGAGCAAGCGCATCGGCACTGGCTGTAAAATCGCGAAATACATAAAACGTAAAGGAGATTTCTACACTTGCGCCTCTCTTTGCGCGCATCCGAGGTGCTGATACTTGGCAGGGTTTTACGTTTAACGCTCGCGCGCGACGTTGGAAAATCCGACTGTCTTTTTCTTTCCGACCGAAAATAGAGAAAATCGCCTCGCGCCGGCGGCTCTCACCCTCGCCGGGGGAATACTCCAAAAGGCTCGCTCGCGTCTTCTCTTGTTTTCGCAGAACCGCTCGGGTTTATTTGCTCAGCGGCGCCTCGCGTCCCGTGAAAAGTTGACGAGCGAAAAGGGCGAGGTGCCACTTTCGGGGAGGCACTCTGTCCGCGTCAATTACGGGAAGACAGTCGTGGCGCGATGCTCATCAGCACGCGGCCCGCGCGAGCGATCCTCTCTTTACTTTCGAATCACGCACCGGCGCTGTCCGCCCGCATAGGATTCCGTCGATCATCGATCGCTCGCGCTCGCGTCTCTCGCATGTTTATGTCACACGGCGGAAGTCGCGCTCGGCTCCTTTCCGTTTGCTGCCGACGCGCCCTGACGATTAATTAAATACTCGCGAGCTCTTGTGCGCTCGTCGCGATACCGAACACGGCTTCTATTCGTTTTCCTTGCGCGCTCGAGTATTTCGATTGACGAATGTCGCGCTTCGATTTTAATTAGGGAAAAATTACTCCGCAAGCCGCTCGCGCTTATCAGTAGAAAACTACACTCGTGTTTGCGAAGCAAAAAGGAACGAGCAGTAATTTCTACAATTGCTCTGATCATCGCAACAGATAACAAGCTAAAATTGGCACGTCAAACGTATTATTTTCTGCGCGAGAAAAGCACGTGGGAGATAGGGGGGAGAGAATTTCTTCTTTGCCGATTCTATTTCAACGACGATGATGATGCCTTTGAGAAAAATGACTTGGTATTTCTCACGGTAGTCTATTTGACTAATTACTTGAAAGCTTCTCGGAAACTAATTTTTCATCTTTTTTTCCTGTGCTTTCAGACGGAAATAGTCAAGAGGTTGAACGCCATCATTATGCAAATACTGCCCTTCCTATCTTCGGACCACCAGCAGCAAGTCGCCACTGCCGTTGATCGGGCGAAGCAGGTCACAATGACAGAGCTCAACTCTATTGTTGGGGTAAGCCTTCTCTCCAAACTTTGTAGACCATCCATCAGCGCACGGATCGAATAGTCAGCTGTTAAAACAAGTCGCATTATACACTCGCTGCTCTCGCAAAGAGAAGAGGCCGATGAATACGAAAATTGGACGTTTTACACAGAAGAGGCGTGCGAGCGTTTCATGAAAAATTCATGGATTCAAGTGCAGGACCCGTCATTAGCGAACGAGCACCAGAGCAAAAAAAAAATAAGCGGGAAGAAATTAGGAAAGAGAACGGCCTGCACAGGCGATTAGCTAACGCCGCTGCTGGTTATACTGGTGCTGTTAATTCGTGTAATATTTGGCCTCCTCGTGCCTATAGCATTCTGTCTGTAGGTGGTAACGTTGCGCCAATACCCGAACCTCTATCGCAAGCTCGACCGCGCGATCAAATATGCATGAGCGATTAATTTACGCGATAACTGCTGCTGATACTCATCGAATATGATCATTAATAATTAATCAACAATCCAATCTCGCATGTTACAAAAAGGCATAGCTAATGCATTCATGACGCAGCCCTTATTTCGTAGTCGGGGTATGAAATTGGCATTCGATCGCGTCTCTCACTCTCGCATAATTGAGTTCCACGCGCTGCAGCCGCAGCAGCAGCAGCAGCAGCAGGCTCGTCGACACGACAGGAATGATTCCCTCGCTCTCGCGGCTTTATTAGACGGTATAATGCGCTCGAGCCGAGTGGCGTAACTATAGAGATACCTCGACGATGCTTTTTTTCTCTTCTGCTTTCGCTCTTTGTTGTCCCGCTACACACGGATCGGGGACACGGGCTTTACTTGTGCTTTTAATGAAGTGTCGGGAGCGAGTACGCGCGCGCGAGACCATTTCCTTTTTTCGCGGATGATTGAGTTTCGACGAGCGCGGTATAATTGTGGAGTTCGCGTTTTGCGTGAAATGCGCTTGTTAATGAGGGAGGTTCGACCTGGTATTTTTTTCTCCCTCTAACGGTTTTGTAATAACGAGTTTATCGACGGATTTTTTTATTAACTGTACTCGATCAAGCTGCTTTTATTATTACGCAAGATACGTTCTATCGATAAAAGTTCTCCAGGCTCGAATACAATAATCGTAATCATTACCATCGACGAGTTAACGGAAACAAACACGGTAGCGCGCATCCGTTGAACGCAGATCGAATTTACTCCAAAAATGTAAGAGCAAAAATCACGATGACGTGAAATGTTACTAAAACTCGCAATGATAATGAAGACGGGTATTTTTTTTGCATATACAGTCAGGCGCGATCGAGAAAAAATACTATTTGACGCAGAAACGGGAGAACGCATCGTGCTTTGCTTGTATGTGTGATTTATTTATTTGTATACATGGTGAGAGAGAAGAGTTTGCATATGCAAGCTTAGCGTACCATTAAATCTGCCCGCGTGCGCCATCGAATTGATCAATAGCGGTAACATCGATGAAAAGATCTTTGATTCGATTAATGCCATTTTCGCAAACGAAAGGCAATTGATGAAGTTATTGTATTATAACTGTCGGGTCCACGCATTCGATGTGATTTATCCGAATACAAGGTCGCGAAAAATATCCGACATTAAAAAGCAGCCACTTAGTCAAGCCCCCTCGCCAACTTTCGTCGGAACGTGCAAACGCAGCGCGCGCGCGCTCGTTGATCAAACAGACGTCGAAATAACACGCATACGCCCAAGAGCTCGCCGAGGTGGCAAACGAAAGAGAGAGAGAGAGAGAGAGAGAGAGAGAAAAGAAAAGCTGCCGTGCACATGCGCGCTCGCGAGCGAAGAGAAATCGCAGGTAATTTCCATCGGCGTATGTACGCACAGACTCGGTGTGAGTTTAGCGCGGCGTGCTCATCAGCCTGAGTACACAAGCGCGCGCGCGCGCGCGCGCGCAGCGCCGAGCCAAGCCCCAGCACATCGTGTTGTAGCGAGCCCGAGCAGCGTAAGACGGAAGCGCTGTCGGCGTTCCGCGAACACGCAGCTCGGTATTATGGGGCTGGGATTACGCGCTGCTGCGACACGTGTCGGCCCCCGCATTACGCGGCGCTGCGCCGCGCGTCGCTGGGTTATAGGCCAAAGTGTCGTTGACGGAAAGTGATCGCGATGACGACGTCGGCGACGAACGTTTTCGGCGGATTTTCAACGTTCCGTAGATTTCCCTTGAATGTTCGTGATAAACGCGCCACTTGTTCGAGTTAGAGGCGCGATTTAGCTGACGGTATGCAGAGGGCGCGATCGTTTTGCGTAGCCGCGCGTAGAAAAGTGCCGCGTTGTCGATTGATAAGCGTTCGCGGCAGGCCTCTGCCAGTTCAAATTAAAACGAGCAATGCGATAAACTATCCCATCATTGCGTTGCACGTATTGAAACTGGAAATCATTATTCGCACCGATCGGCCGAGCGTAGTTGTTCAACGCAAAAATCCGTCGTCTCGATCATTCGTAAGCGAGATAACTCGGTGAACCAGCAGAAATTAACGGGCATTCGGCAAATTGGCAATGCGAAGAACGAGCACACAAAAGGAGAGTAGCCTCGCGACAACAAGGCGTCGAAACAACAAGAAAGAACTCATAGGTGGGAAATAATGGAGACACAAGGCGCAAGCTTGCATGAATATGCATTACTGCGAGTAAACAGGGCTCTTGAATCAATATTTCGTTTAATAACACCGCTGCCTGCCTGCCTGCCTGCTTGGCGTGTGTATAGTTTCCTCGTGCTTTGCAAACCTTGCGTTAGCCGCGCGTATCGCGTCCCTTGTGTTCACGCGTGTCTGTCTTGACGCCAGTGTCTACACTCTCGGGGCCATCCAACTTTCCCCTCTCGCTCTCGTCTCACCTGCTCTCTCGCTCCCGCTCGTCTGCTTCAAATGTACTATATTGACTTGAAAACTGAACTCCACGGCGACCCGACGCGCTGGTTATATTGAAGTTGTGGCGGCGCGCGGTCGTGAAAGTTGGTTAAACACATAAATAAACTTTTCCGCTCGCACGGAAGTTTATTATAAACGAGCGGCTTCGTTCCCGTGCGCGTATACCAATGGCGTCCCAGTGTCAGACTATTGTTTTGGAAACGGCGGACGTCTTGCGCGGGCGTCTATTTCAACCGAAAACGTTGAGCGATCGCATTTACAAGCGTCGGCAGGTCGAGTCTGGTTTTTTCCCGCGAGCGAGCGAGCCGATTCGTTCGGCTGGAAAGAGCCTCGTTTTTCCAAATGACCCGGTAGCGCTGCTGCCGCGAGAGACGACAACGAGGGCGAGTCTGACTTGGCTTATTTTAGTCGATGAGAAGCAGATGCCGCCGCCGCGGGATCGGGAATGGAATTTCAGAGCTTGTTTTCGTTCGCTCGAAAATTCATAAAACGCCCATCTGGCAGCGGCAGCGTTGCCGGCAAAAAAGAGAATCCCCCGAAGGGGTACGCGACACGTGTTGTTGTGTTAAACCCTGTGCGCGTGCTGTGCATTCTCTCTTTCTCTCACTCGAGGACCACTTACTACTATTCTGTCTGTTTTTCTTTTTTTTTCTTTTTTTTCTTTTTTTTCGTTCCGGGAATAGACGAGCGGTTCATTAACTGTTGTCGCGATGAAGTTGTGCTACTTGAGTGTAGTTTCACGACTGTGAATTTAATTCGCACTCGTGATTTGTTTACGGTATTTCCGATGGTAATCCGGCCAGATCATTAAAAGTCTGCTGGCAAACAAAAGCAAAACTGCTGTTCAAACACTCGATACTCGATCAACGCGAGGAAAAAAGAATCGCCGAGCGGAGCGCAGCAGTGACCGATAATCCGTACGGGGGGAGAGCTCGCTAGCCTCGCAAAAGAGAGAACATTTTTTTTTTGCCACTCGCTGCGCCTAATAATTCCCATGACTAGTGTAGTAGCTTCAACCCCACCCGCCGTGAAAAGAGGGTTTCACGCCTGAGCGCTTGCTCGTTGTGTATTTTTTTTTTTTTTTTTTTTTTTTTTTTTTTTTTTTTTTTTTTTTTTTTTTTTCGTCGACACGAGATAATTTACGAGAGGCAGGGTCGATCGAGAGATTTATGAAATGTAAACTCCGTAGAATTCGGGAAGAGATGCGGTAGCTCTTAATTTACACGAGAGAGAGAGAGAGAGAGAGAGAGAGAGAGAGAGAGAGAAGCAGGAGAAACTTGCCGCTTAAAGTGATTGCGCTCTAGCAAGTTTCTCTCTTCTCTTTATTACGTATTCCGGGCTCGCGCGCCACGAGGACCGATTTGTAAACTCAAGCGAGCGAGAGAGGAAATGGAACGCTGCTTTGGAAAATCGGAGGGTGAGAGAGAAGCTGCGAGTGAGCGAGCGAGGACGTGTTGGGATTATTTCGTGACGAATCGCTGAGACATCGATTTCACCGTGTATCCCTTTGGTAGTAGACGCCGTAGCTTTCCGCGGTAATTATGAGATTAACTTTGATATATAGAGGATTAGTCGGGGGTAGAGCAACTGAAAAAATAGTAATGAGGAGTAATTTGAACAAGAAAATCTGATTTTTCTCAGGCTGTTCGTTACGCTTCATTTTTTGTACTCGTTCTTAGATGGAGTCCGCGACAAACGTTCGCGTTTTGCCAAGCCGAACATAGTCAATCAATCATATCAAGTACACAATTTTGCTAAACAAATGTCTGACCATATATTTTGATTACTTTTCTAGCAACAGCGACCCGACATGTCGAGGATATTGCAGCAAATGCAGATGCAACAGTTACCCCCCGGCGCCACACTCGGTCCTCACCCAGGATTGCCAGGATTGCCAGGACTGGGACCTGCTGGTGGTTTACCAGTGCCCACCTCTACCTCGGCGGCTCTTCTCAGCTTGGGTTTGAACCCTGGAGCTCCACCTACACCTGGAAGTGCTAGCTCGCATCCTCTTTCGATGCTCAGCAAGCCTGATATACATCGCAACAGTCAGCCTGACGATGCCAAGAGTAATGGAGGTAAGCATTGTTCACTGGCGTTGTCGACGCGCTTTTCCGGGCTGCTTTTCCAACTTAGGTCAGCTTATCGAAGGTCGACCACCTCGTCGAAAATAATAAAAGCCATTGGCCACGGGGCTTTTCATATACTGCGACACCCCCTCCCTCGATAAGTATGAATAACGCCGCGAACAAGCCGTATCGCATTGATCGGGCACATAAAATAAAGTCCCCCGTGTATACGCGCGCGACGCGCCTCTTTTTTTTTTTTTTTCTTCTTTTTTTGTTTTTCACCGAAGTTCGGAAAAACTCGGGGATCCATTTTACACGAGGCACTAAAAATGCAAATGCTCGCGTGTGCGGCTGCGGCCGTCGTTGTGCACATAAAGAACAAGGCCAATAATGGTCCATTTGCAATTTGGCGTGACGCGGTGTGGCGATGCCGGTGTGCGCCGCCAACCCTGCAAAATAATTAGGACTGGCATGCGCGAGAGCGAATCGTGTTTTTTTTTTTTTTTTTTTTTTTTTTTTTTTTTCATCGCTCGTCGGTATTTTCGATAATTAATCGTTCGATCTTTTTTCCGTTCGCAAACTCGCGCGCGCATGCACAGAGCGAGTCAAAGTTGAAAATTGAAAAACGCGATTACCCGGGTAGAACGTAATATTTTTAATCCAAACGAAAAAGAAAAAACAAACACAAATAAACGAAAAAAAAGCAGCGAATTAATTTGAAGCTTTCGCCTGTTCTCAACACGGAAGAACTTTTTTGGGTTTGAAAAAGTTACATCTTGCCCTATGTACATATTCGCTAATTTTCTCTCGGTTGCGTTTCCTGGAAATGAGAGAAAAAAAATTGTTCCGAAATTCTCGGGGCGGAAAAAAAATCGACGAGCGAAAAACGTTTGATCCGCGGAAAGATGTGAGCTCGTCAAACGAAGAGAGAGAGAGAGTGAGAGAACTGCGCGTGCGAGAACTTTGAAAAGCAGCAGTAGCAGCGGAGCTGCGCGCGTGAATATGCATGAGAGGATCATTTATAGCGCACACGACATTATTAACATTCTATCGGCGTGGCAGAGTGCTTTTTTTTCTTTTTATTTTTACAGAGGAGGGTAGCGTAGCTAAATCAACGTGTGCGCGCGCGTGCGCACCTGTGCGCGTGGCTTTTTTCGCGAGTGCGAACGCGAAAAGCGTCGACTCTTCTCTCGCCGTGTTTTTATTTACGCGAAAGCTCGGACGCAGCGACAGAGAAAGAGAATGGATACCAGAGGTTTTTTATCAACGTTTTTTTTTCTCTATTTTTCTGTTCCAGGACTCAGTTCGGCGGAGGAGAGACACGTGAGTAGATAAATAAATATAATTTTCACGCAATTTTTTTGCGATTTTTCGCGCGGCGTGACCGGTTTCATTTATTTATTTATTTTTTGTGGTTACGTTACGTTCAATAATTGCCATTACGCGTCAGTAAGAATCGTTGGGAAATATTTTCAAAGTGGAAATTGTCCTTTATTCCTATATCGAATACTACACTCGTTGAGCGAACTTGTGAAAGCTCGAAAGTGAGAATTAGTTTGAATTCGATTGTTAGAGCGAGTTGTACCAAGTTGACATACACGAGGAAAGTTAGAATCCGAGACTCGGCGGATGAATTCGTAAATGTGAAAGGTCGAAGCAAGGAGCGGCAGACTCGGTAGATGACGAGCATAAAGATCGAAAAATGCGATCGGGAGTCGCGGGCAAGCATCGAAAGCAACCGCAGAGATAAATTTTGCGAGCCGTGCACGCTCGTTCGTGGCTTATTGTTCGTCGCTCCATTAGCCTCTGTCTCTGTTGCGAGAAAGGGGGGTTGCATTCTTCCGCCGCGAGGGGATAATTAGCGCGGCAGAGGCCCTCCGCCGCTGCCCGCGAGCTTCCATTTCCGCGAAAAAGAGGCTCCGCGCTCGGAGCCTGTAATCATCGCCGGACCGCAACGCCCATCGACGCCCCCTCGCTCGCGCGCCTACTCATTCTATTTTCATTCTTTTGTATCTCCTCTCTCGCCCTCTGTAATCACTCTCTCCCCGTCTCCTCCTTTAGATATCTCCTCTCCTTTTCTATTCTCGCTGCCTCCCGATGCCGCCGGTCTCTTCCTTCTCCCGGTCCGTGTTGTGCGCGCGGCGCGCTCATTCAATTACACGTCTTTGCTCGCGAGGCCAGATTCCAAGGATCAACTGCCATGTTTATTAGCCTACCTCTGTAATTTTCATTAATTTATTCAGAGAAGCGCGTGCTCCGGCTTCCTCCCCTCGTCCCTTCTGCCCGTAGCTTTCGAAATAATTCAATCGCGCCGAGCCGCTTCGTTTTGCGCGCGATGTACTTTTTCGTGCCTCTTCGGAACGAATTTTAATAATTCACGCGGCGAACAAGTCTAATGAGTCACGCCTGACTTGCGCACCGACAAATCATATCCACGAGACTGCGTAGTCCCGAAAGACGAGAAAGGGGAAGAAAAAGAAGAGGAAGAAATTCGTTAAATAAACCATATACGCGCTGCTCTCGCGCGTCGCACCTCCAAGGCAATCCTTTTATTTCGCCTCTCATTCACGCCCACGAATCCCCTCGAATTCCATTATGCCCCATTACCGCACGGCTCCTCTCGGTTCTCTCTTTTTTTCGCTGCAACAGTAGAGACGAAGGCTTTGTTTATTCGCCGACCGCCTGAGAACCCTTTTCTTTGGGACTTTCTTGCTATGCGCGAGTTTTTATGACGCTGTTTTCGACGAATTCCCCCCAACTTGTCGGATTTTTGACACCTTGCGCGCCAACGATTGCCAAATTGCTCGGCTCTTTCTTTCTCTCATTTTGCTTCTCGCTTAGTCGTGAGAAACGAGTTTCTTCGATTTACATCTTTCGAGAGACAGGTTCTGCGAAATGAAAACTACGATTGTACTTTCCGTTGAATGACAAAAATAGAAGCGTATATCGGGCGTAATTCACTTAGCGAAAGACGTACTACAACTTCACGCTCGATTTCCCAGCGTCGTCGTCGCTTATCTTTCGACTTTCACAAGAAGCACCGAGTAAAAAAGGAACGTCGGAAACTGCGGAGGCACGAAACCCGAAATGTATCTCGGCTTCTCTCTAACACGAAGAAATACGCTCTTGAATTCCCTTCCCTCGTGTTTCTCACGAGCAAGACTCTTGGCATTTGTTTTCTCTCTCTTTTTTTTTTTTTTTTTTTCTCTGCTCCCACAAATGAACACTTCAAAGTCGCATCGTTACAAATTACAAGCACATTATTACAACGGTAGCTAGTTTCATTTACTTGGCATCGTGATATATGTACGATAATACATATATCACGGTGGAACGAGATTCAATTAGTCTCGTTTCACCGGCGATTTGTTGGTCCCGATATATACATAATGTGCGCACACAAGCACGCCCCCATCGTGGAATCGTGGAGTGACGCGATTAATCAGATGATGAGAGAACTGAGAGAAATCGCCGCTCGATACGATGCCCACTTCGATGTACATTCGACGCTTCCGTTCGTCACGCATCATTGAACTTTGCTTCGATGGTCGATAGATTGATTAGCTCGACGCCGTCATCTGTGGGTTTCCCGTGCTTCCTAATCGTTCTACTTTTTAGAGAAGGACGATTAATCGACACTGCTTTGTCGGTAAACGTGTGGCAGTCCGTTGAACGGCAATCGAAAGCGACGCTATCGCAGCTGCGCGAACGCGTTGATTTGGAACGAAGGCGCGAATCGTTGATGCCGCGTAAGATATAAGGGAAGACGTACGTATGTATCTGTAAAAACGTATCTGATTGCAGAGGAGCTCGATATCGCCAGGTGAAAAGTACATCAGACCGCGCTCACCGCAGGAGTCGCATCACGGACACCCCGCGCAGAATCATCATGATCACCCGATTCACATCAAGAAGCTCAAGAAGGAGCACGACAAGGATCTCGGTCATGTAAGTTCTTACGTGCATATCGTATGCGTCGTGAGCTTGGCGAGCGAACGCACTGATTGTGCGACTTTGAAATTATAACGAACTAATTCCGCGGCAAGTTTCTCGCGCAGTCCCGAAAACCGTTTCTCCATCGAGTAAAGCGAGTCGAGCCGTCGTTGAAACTTTATCGCTCGCATCCGCGTAATAACGCTCGCGCGCTGCGCGCAAGTGAATTAAAACCCCGGTCACTGTCTAATTCTAATCAGCGAGATTGGCGCAAAAGCAATTTGGGTAATGAAACCGCGACGCGACACTCGACTTCGGGGCTTAGAGATAAACCAAACTTTTTTTTTTTACGAGGAACATCGAGATGGCACGCGCTCGAGAAGAAGGAAAAAAAAATGAAAACGAAGTGAATGTGAAAAGAGCTAAATCTATAGACAGTCGTTTCTCCGTTTCTCCGTTTCTCCGTTTCTCCCTTTCTCCCTTTCAATCTTCTTACGTTGAATGAGAAGAGAGGCAAACGAAGAGACTTGAAAGTCTTTTTAGCAGGAGAGATGTTTTTTTACGTTCAAAGAGAATTTCAATTTCGCTGGTTCAATAGGAGCCTTTGAGTTATGACCCGATCTTTCTCTTATTTCAATACCCATCGGCTCGAGAGTTTTCGAGTGAAAGACACACACTCATCTCGACGCGTAGATAATGATTTGACGAATCGTCGAGAACGCTCCAGACTAATATCAAACATTTGGCATTTGGTGGCGAACCAACAGAGCGACGGTGAGAAAAGCGACCAAGACCTGGTGGTAGACGACGCGAGCGACTGCCCGAACAGTCCAGCGGTGAACGGCACCACGTCGCCGCGCGAGAACGGCATCGACAAGCTCGGCGTGTCGAACCTGGGCAGCGGGGGCAGCAGCAACAGCGCGAGCAACGGCGCCAACGGCACGTCCAAGAAGGAACTGCCGCCGCACTCGCCTCGCAGCGGCACGAGCAGCAACGCCAGCACGCCCTCGGCGAAGAAGATGGAGGAGCGCGAGAAGGCAACCACGCCGATCTCCAAGCCCCTGACACCGACGTCGGCCCCACCCCTGAAGCCCTCGGTGTCGAGCAAAGCTCTGCAAGGATTGCCGCCGCCGGCTGCTGCTTATCCTGCCCATTATCCACCTGGTCCAACTCATCATCTGCCACCAGGAGCGCAACACCCAGCTCACGTCGAGCTGATGGCTTACAATGGGTACGCCGCGCCTAGGGTGCCGGCGAGTCTGCCCCAACAATTATACGACCCGCATGGGGCCATGAGGGTGCCGTCTGTTCCCGTAGGCACGGTACCCGGTGGGAAGCCGTAAGTATTCGTCCGTTCGAATTCCGATATGTCGCGATCGATCTACTCCGCGAGCGCGCCTCTCTTAACCTGCCCATTCCGTTCTCATTGCAGAGCGTACAGCTTCCACGTGTCCAACGACAACGTCATGGTTCCGGTGCCCTTCCCGCCCGACGCTTTGAGCGGCGTCGGCATTCCGCGGCACGCGCGCCAAATCAACACTCTGACTCACGGCGAGGTCGTCTGCGCGGTCACCATCTCCAATCCAACCAAGTACGTGTACACCGGTGGCAAGGGCTGCGTCAAAGTCTGGGACATAAGCCAGGGCGGAAGTAGCAACTCGAAGCCGGTGTCGCAGCTCGACTGCCTGCAACGCGACAACTACATCAGATCGGTGAAGCTGTTGCCCGACGGGCGGACTCTGATCGTGGGGGGCGAAGCCAGCCAGCTGAGCATTTGGGATCTGGCAAGTCCAACGCCGAGGATCAAGGCGGAGCTGACCTCGTCGGCGCCTGCCTGCTACGCGTTGGCCATCTCGCCGGACTCCAAGGTCTGCTTCAGTTGCTGCAGCGACGGCAACATCGCCGTCTGGGACTTGCAGAACCAGACGCTCGTGCGCCAATTCCAAGGCCACACGGACGGGGCCTCGTGCATCGACATCTCGGCCGACGGCTCGAAATTGTGGACCGGTGGCCTAGACAACACCGTCAGATCGTGGGATCTGCGAGAAGGACGTCAGCTGCAGCAGCACGACTTCTCCTCGCAGATCTTCTCGCTCGGTTACTGCCCCACCGGCGAATGGTTGGCCGTCGGCATGGAGAACTCGAACGTCGAGGTGCTGCACGCAACCAAGCCCGACAAGTATCAGCTCCATCTGCACGAGTCCTGCGTGCTATCCTTGCGATTCGCGTCCTGCGGCAAGTGGTTCGTCTCTACCGGCAAGGACAACTTGCTCAACGCCTGGCGCACTCCTTACGGCGCTTCGATATTCCAGGTGAGCAGCGCGATTCGCAATTTACGACCCTCTACATCTACGCAGCGTGCCTCTTTTATTTCCCTCGCGGTTGGGCGCCTTTTTTCTACCGCTTTGTATTCTACGTTCAACGCTCGTCGCGAGTTTTTTTCTCCCTTGGCGCGGACGCTTGGCTTCTGTTTGCGTTCGATCGACTGTTCCTTTTTCCGTCCTGAAAAATAACACGAGTACATCGTTACCAACCAAGGGGAAAAACCAAGTAACAGATATTGAAAAATAATTTGTATTGCGCTCTCCCTCCCTCTCGACGGAATCGATTTAAAACACTCGCCAAGCCCCTCGAGTGCTGCCGCCGCTGTCGCGTCCGAGCTATTACCCATCGTTCGTCGTTCAAGACACCAGTCGTAGCAGTAGCAGCAGCAGCAGCACTCGAGAATGGAGAACCGCTCTATCGAGTAAGTCTTTAAATTTCCATTACGTCGCTCTGTTTGCAGTCGAAGGAGTCGTCGTCCGTACTGAGCTGCGACATCTCGGCGGACGACAAGTACATCGTCACTGGCTCCGGCGACAAGAAAGCTACCGTCTACGAGGTCATCTACTGAAGTGGCGTGCCCCAGAACCACCACCACCACCACCACCACCACCACCACCTCCACCACCGAGGATGATAATCTCTCTCAATTCTCTCTTTAACCCAATTGTACATATGACGCCTTCCCCTCCTTTTACCTCTACATTGTACTGCACCACAAGCTGTCTCATTTTTATCTCACGCTTTCATCTTTACTTAGTGAACAAAAAAGACGTGGTGGACGAGTGCGACGACGAGCGTTCCTGCTTATTTCTTTTTTTCCTTTTCTTTTCTTCCTTTTAATTTATCGTTGCATTGAAATTGTGACACACGGGCATGGGTGCACGCGCGTCGCGCTCGTTCGGTGCACTCTGTACTTCTTTCTTATCTCGAGGGGAAGCGAAAAGAAAACGACAAAAAAAAAATAGCAGAAATATGAAAGAAGTCGTCGTTTTGCAGAGTAAACTCGCGAGTTCATTCAACGTTTGTATGTACATTTTGTATATAGCTTTTAACGTCTTAGGTACATACTGTCATATTTTTCTACGTGACCCATCACTTTTTTTGTCTTTGTGTGCGCGACGACGACGGCGAAGATCTCCAGTGACGAAGTAAAAGCGGATTTTCAGATGTAAACAAAAAACAATTAGAAGTTACACGTTAGAAAAAAGAATTATTATGGAAAAAAAGCTCTGTAAATATATCATTATGTCGAATCGTATATGTAACGATACACTTCACATTTGCGATATAAAGTTTCGCTAGTGAAACGCATACACACATACGACACTCACACGTACACGAAAACTGAGTCTATTACAAGTAAAGAAATAAATATGACAAAAAAAAAAAGTAAACGTGCAAACCAGTTTATTAATTGATCCCAATGATACATGCGTTCCCCTCTTGGAGCACACGAGCAAACAAGAAAAAAGAAGAAACTTGAGACTGCTCGAGGTCAGTTCCATTACCTACCCGTCGCGCCTCTGAAATCTTATGCACTCGCCCGAGGCGAAGTAAGAGTATATAATACAAGTGTGCCGTGCGCGCCCGCGCGATACAACCTGATTAAATTGTTAATAAACCGCGAGAGAGACATTTTCCACGCGCGCGCGGACGCGAGAGAGAGAGAGAGAGAGAGCGCGAGGTCGATGAAGTGTGCACGCGAGGAAGGAACGAAAAAGAAAACGTAGCCAGTCAAACGAGCCGTTGAATGTTTCATGAAAGTATACACGCTGCCGGAGCTGCGCACTCCATGCGACGCCGTCACACCGGCCTCTACAGCTCTTTCGCTCTCGTCTATTAACAGTGATAGCGCCGGCTCTCTCCACAAATATATTGCTCCGATCCATTTGGTTTTTTGCGCCTGGATAACTTTGGCTAATTTTCTTCTTCGTTTTATTCCAACTAATGGCTTAACTCGCTAACTCCGTGCAGCTTGTACTTCTATTTGCAATCTTAGCTAATGCGTTGCATTCGTAAGATGAAAGATAGTCGAATGCATTGACTTGCTCGTGTAAAAGCAATTTTATTTTCTTCAAGTTCGTCTTAAAATACCGCGGATCAAAAAATTTCTCTTTCGTGAAAAGTTTAGTAAGTCGTATCAAAATATAGTTATTTTGAATCTTACAGGTAGTTTTTTTACTCAATGCATTAAGTTCTTAACTCTAGGTTACACAGAAACATTCAAATACCTCCTTGTTATATATTTTAGATAAATTTGAGGCTATAGACATTGGACTGACACACCTTACTTTCTTGCCTAATCCTTGACACCTGTGCGAATCGATTGCTTGCTAAGGTTTACAGACAAACAAACAATTGCAACGTTATTCGAAATATCTGGAGAATGGTATTGAAGCATTAAATGCGCTGCAATTACTTGATTTATCGTGCTGCTCCAAAGTAACGAAAAAGATTGTCACGACTGCTATAAAATATAAAGTGAGAAAAAATAGCATGATTTTCTTACGCCACTCTGATCGGTATCCGGACCGATTGCCAAACGACTTGAAATTAATACCGACAAGGCATATTACGTTTACAATCATATTATATATATGTATCATTTTGCAATATATAAAAAGGGAAGATTCATTACTACTCCGTCAAGCTATTTGATAAGAGAGCGGTTTTATCTAAACTAATCATAATAATGAGGTTACACAAAATTTTGTTAATAAGCATGTAAAATGATTATATGATCGCTATTGGAACCATCGACAACGTGTATTTGTTCCATGAAAAAAAATTAAGTAAATTGATTGAAGCACGCAGCGTCGTAAGAGTGAAATAAAAATGTAATGCAATAAAAAGGAATTACTCGAATTGTGCCGGTATCTAACATAACAACGAAGAAACACCGATAATCACTTCGCGGTCTAATGAAATTCTCCGAGGCTAAAAATTCCAAAACACAGCCGTCGATCGTATAATTAAACGCGCGCCTATACGCGCGCATTCAATGGCAGGTTCACGTACATAATGTTATTATAATGGCACGCCGAGGAAAGAGGCGCGCGCGCGGGCATACGATGCAAATGCACGCAAGGCGCGATTCGGCCTGGTAGGCGCGCGGGACTTTGTCGAGTTGAATTTTAAGCCTCGATTTGCATCGGCCTACATTTCCCCCTCTTTAACATTCTTATTAGTAATCCGATTGTGTTCGCGTGCTTCGCTCGCGCGAGGGAAAAAAACACTTTTCAATACGGAGAACGTCGCTGAAAGAAAGAGAGAGAGAGAGGGAAAGCATAAATGCGTTCGAAATTGCCCAGTGCCGAAAATGTGGCATGCATAATGACCGTAATCACGACTCGAGCGCGGCCTAGCATTTTGAAAATCAAAAGCAGCTCATACGAAATTCCCTCTCTCGGCGGCCCGCTGAAATCAATTCAAAATGCACATACAGCCCGCGCGATCATCGCCAGTTCGCATGCATAATACCGCGCGCGCGTAGGCGCGTGCAAAGGTAGATACGCAAGTGCAACGACAGCGAGCGGCTTTAAAATATCCGGCTAAATGCATCTAGCTATCCGCGCGCTAATCCGCCCGTTTATCAATTCGCTCGTTGCGCTTATTCGTGCCCTCGCAGGCCGAAAATTATTGCGAAAATTTGCCGCTCGTCGGTCGACGCAGCGGCTCTGTAATTAAGTGCTATTACGAGAATTGATGCGCGCGCCGCGAGCTAGAAGGGTGAAGGAGGTTGGGGCGGGGGATGGGGGAAGGCTATTGTTCGCACTTCTGCGTCTATAGGATAATTTACTCTCGATATCGAGCTCTTTTCTCCGCCGCTCGCCGAAGGGAGATATAGAAAAAATTGTTTCGTTTGAATAATTGAGCGACGCTCCGTGCCAGGCAGAAAATAGCCATCCTCGGCGCCACATCGGAAAATGATATTGCGCCGAGGATGTAATTTTTCAATTTGAATAATTTATTTAACGAAGCTCGAGCTTCTTCTCCTGACGTTCCAGTCGGCGCGTATGAATATTTCATTGAAATATCTCGCGGAGAATGACCAACACTTTTATCGTTTTATTTATTATTGAATTCCCCAGCAGTAGCTGCGGTTGTCCCGATGAATTATATCCGTATTACATCACTACGCGTCTGCTTCTCTTCTCTGCATATAATTTTCATCGCAACTTCGTTCGTGGTTAATTAGTCTGCGGTTATTTTGTTAATGCACGATTATTAATTTTTTAATGAAATGTAATTTTATACGATGCTTATCCATTAACTCGTGCAACTTCGTTTCATTAATAAATTAACGGTAATTCGTTGAACAGCTGCTCGAGTATGCACTCTTACAAACGACCGAGTTCATTTCGATTTAAAAGTGCATCTAGTTTATTGATTAAAAGCACATGATCGGTGGCGCTGCCGCGCTGCGAACGAAAGAAAGAAAAAGAAGAATCGTGCCAGAAAGCTTTGAGCGCAAAAAAGACTGCTTCAACAAAAGAGATAGACTAGGGAGAGAGAAGCTTGATGCCCGTGCGAGTACAGAGAGGAACAATTGATGAACTAGGGTCAGCCAGAGTGTATATCCTCTGTGTCGGCGGCAGCAGCAGCAGCAGCAGCACTCGGAAATGGCCAGCAAGGCTAAAGGGGTATAAGTAGGGCTGCGGGTGGGTGGGGTTAAGCTATAGGGTACATGTGTCGGCGAGCAGATTGGAGGGAGTGTCCGCAGCTCAGCCAAGCGTTTCATAGCGCAAGCAAGCAAGCAAGCAAGCAAGCAAGCAACCACCACTACTACCATCACCTCGACCCTCAAGACTAAAATTAAGCTGCTGCCGTTGCTGTCCTGCTGTGTATGTATATGTTGACTTCTGCCTTCCCTTCGGCCTGCCTGCCTGCCTGCCTGCCTGCCTGCCTGCCTGCCTGCCTGCCTGCCTGCCTGCCTGCCTGCCTGCTTTGTAATTGCAGTGTAGAGCCAGCCGGCCAAACCGCCACCACCGCCATCGGCTTTCCCAACGAGTGCGTTCATTAGCTGCAACAACTCTGAATGCGAACTATTTAGTGCGTGTAAAGTGTGGGATTAGGACAAAACAATTATACTTTTACTGCGCTGACGATCAATTTGTATAATGCTTTTGCGAATTCGAACGCATCTTTTATATTTAGATGATACGCTTGCTTCTGCGAATTTCGTTGGCATTTTCCTCGTGCCCGTTGTTCGTTTGTGGACATTTATAACTAGGGCGTTGACCGACTGTTTCGTATTATTGTATAGAATTTTAGTTTTCTTTTCATAGATACTTCGGTTGCCCGTCGTTAAATGAAGCTTACTATGAATATTCTTTCATTTAAGTGATTAAGCCATTGCTGAATATCAAATTATGCGTTTTATGTTGTGTGACTAAGTTGAAATAACTAATTCTTCATATTTTCTAAACTATCGTCATGTCGGTAAACACCTATAAATATAAGGTCTCAGATCCGAGAGAGGCGATCAATTAAAAATCATACGCACGGCAACACCATGGGAGCTGACTCTTCGCTAATTAATCGCCTCGAAGGTACTCGTAACGCGCGCCGCGCGAAAGAAAACGAAGATAAAAAAAAAGCGCATTCACGCGTAACGATTGTAACACGCGAGGCTTCTACCTTAATAACCCGCTGGCAATCTATCCGCAAGCCATTGTATAACGATCGAGCTTCCCACCAAACCCTACATATACACACACGCGCGCACGCTAATTTTCTCTCTCTCTCTCTCTCTCGGCCCGCAAATTAACAGCCACGCAAATGAGCCTCCACTCGCTCTCGCAATTGGACGCGCGCGGCTACCTCTCTTCTCCTCGGTGGTTTTTTTATTCGGACTGCTGAGTTGCGTGTGCGCTCGTTGCTGTTTTTTTTTTCTTTTTTTTTTAGGGAGAAGGGAGAAGGCGCAAAAAACCCTGTTTGCCCAAACGATGATTTAACGCTACTGCACAGACCGAGATTGCTCGACGCTTCCAGTTTAATGGTCCCCGCTACTAATTTTTGCCAGTTTTGCTCTCTACCCAGCTACTGCAGCTTGCAGTCTTTTTCTCTGACTAATCGTCGGCGTCGACAACGACATAAAAAAAAAAACGGTCTAACTGTTGTGCGCGCTGAAAAATTTTGGCTATATTTCGCGTTGTACAAAGGGCGTTGGGTGCGTTTTTGTGCGACTGACAAGTGCAACTTCTTCTGAGCAACAACACAGGTTCACTTGTAATTTCTACGTGGATTTACCTAATAGATCTAACTGCTCAAAATCAAATATCTGTTCTTTACTCAACGTTCGGTCGAATTGGAATAATGAAATTAGTGGATAGTATTGAAAGAGAAAACAACATCTATCGCAGGCGTAATAAGATCTAATTGCAAGATAC